ATGAGTCTTTAATTAAATTTCTTAACAATTTTCTCAGTGCTAGACTTATCACCGTAACCAGGCTACAAGCCACATATGATTATAGTTTGTCTGTCTCTTACATTGTACAGTATAGAGTTTGTCTGATAATAGGTATTTTATAAATATTATATATTAACCTGAGAGCAAACTGAAGTGCCATAGCTTATGGTTTCATGAGACGTTTTGACAATTTTGAGAAGGGATGTGGTGAGATATAAGAATTACCATGTATCTTCACATTCTCAATAAAACTGGGCCCTAGCCATTTTAGATGTTTATAAATAATAATAAAACAAGGATTTCTATTTGACAGGATCCTAGATCCATCAGATCCAGATAGCATTTGTGGTTTCTTACTTTAAGATAAAAAGGGAAACATTTTTCTGACAACAAGAAAAATCGTCTGTAATGGAAAGATCTAGAAACATTTTGAATGCAAGTGAATGAGGGTCTTTAAAATATCCTTTTAACACAGTGAGAAATATGACGGTTCTTCAATAAGCTTTTGGGAAGCCCTTTTAATACAGTGAGAAATATGAGGGTTCTTCAATAAGCTTTTGGGAAGATTCACATTATCTTTTAATTTTTTTTTCCTTTTTGTCTTTTTTCGTGACCAGTAATGGGATCGTAACCCTCAGTGTCGCGCCCACACCGCGCTCAACCAGTGAGCGGACCAGTCTCTATATGGGATCCAAACCCTCGGCGGGAGTGCCGCCGCGCTCCCAAGCACCACACTCTACCGAGTGCGCCACCGGGCTGGCCCAATCTTTTAATTTTTAATTCTATTTTTGAAGTACCCTTGTATGATTCCATGAAATGNCTCCTGTGAATTTGCACTTCCATCCCCTGAAGTGCTGAAGATCTTGATGTTGGGTTTGGTTCTGTGACATGCTTTGGTCAATGGAATGTGGGCAGAAGGGACTCACCACAAGCAAAGGTCTTAAGGACCAAGCCCATGGTGCACTCGGGAGAGTGCGGCGCTGGGAGCAAAGCAACGCTCCCGCCACGGGTTCGGATCCTATATAGGAATGGCGGTGCACTCACTGGCTGAGTGCGGTGTAGGTGACACCACACCAAGGGTTGCGATCCCCTTACCAGTCACGAAAAAGACAAAACAAACAAACAAACAAACAAGCAAAGGTCTTAAGTGGGACTAATAAGTTTCTGTTTGCTCCTTTTATGCTCTTGCCACTTTCTGTGAAAAGAACCCTACCCATTCACCCATGGTGTGTTAGTCCATTTCTGTTGCTTGTAACAAAACAGTTGAAACTGGGCAATTTATAAAGAAAACAAAATTTATTGCTTACATTTTCTAAGGCTGGGAAGTCCAGAGTCCAGGGAACACATTGGTGAGGTCTTGGTGGTGGTGATGGTGATGGCAGAGTATCACATTGTGATAATGGTGGAACAGAGAAAGTGGAGCAGAGAGAGCATTAGAGAGAGACAGACTCTCCTCTCTCTTCTTTTAGAGCCCTCAGAACCATGCCCTTGATCACCATTCTTAATCCATTCATTATGACATGGTCATAGAAAATTGAGGAACTTAACTGCATTGTGTCTGTGCCCTAGGACTTTGTGGAAGTTGGAACTTAACAGCTGAGAACCAAAATATTTGGTGGAAGAAATTTCCAAGCTGCGAAGCATACAGACAGCTGCATGGCTACTTATTACAGCATATGCTCAGTTATGGTGGCAAGGGTATGATGTAAAATCAGAATTTAAAATGGAAGCAGAGCAAAACGATTTGGAAAATTTGCAGCCTGGCCATGTGGTAGAGAATGAAAGAATTCTTTCAGGAGAAAAATGCAAGGTTGCAGCAGATAGACTGGTTGCTAAAGACATTAGCTTGGACATGAGGCAGGCAGATGCTAATAGCCAAGACAATGGGAGAAAGGACCTGAAGGCATTTCAGAAGTCTGGAAGGGTGTCCCTCCCACCACAGACCTGGAGGCCTAGGAGGATGCAGTTGTTTCAGAGGACAGACTTAGGGGGAGGACAGACTTAGGGTGCTGCCGCCCTCAGGAACCTATTCTCCGCATCCCAGCTGCTCTGGCTAGAGCAGCCCTGCCTCACGTGGCCCCAAGTGTGGTTTTTGCAGCAGCTCTGGAGAATAGAAGCCTGAAACCTCGGTGATGTCCACATCATGTTAAGTCTGTAGAGCATAAGCCAGAAACCTTGGTGGTGTCCATGTCATGTTAAGTTTGCAGGGTGGCAGAACATGAGAGCAGTGGAGGTGTGGCAGCCTCCCCCCTGATTTCAGAGGATGTATGGAAAAGCCTGGGGCACAGGCAGTGACCTGTCTCAGGAGTGGAGCCATCACAGAGGCCATCTACTAGAACAATGCTCAGCAGAAATGTGGGGTTGAAGCCACTACAGAGAACTCCCACCAGGGAAATGTCTAGTAGAGCCAAGGGGGTGGGGCTGCCTGACACTTTAGGAGCCTAGATGCCCCATTGTGCCCAGGATGCAGGGCTTGGAGTCAAAGAAATTTATTTAGGAGTGTTAAGATTTAATGTCGGCCCTGTTGGGCTTCAGACTTGTTTGGGGTTTGTTTTCCATTCCTTCTGGCCTATTCCTCCCTTTTGGAATGGGAATGTGTACCCAATGTCTGTTCTGCTGTTGTAGCTTGGAAGTATGTAACTTGTTTTGAATTCACAGATAGGACTTTGAACTTTGGACTTTTGAGCTCAAACAAGTTAAAACTTTGGGCATGAAATGAATATATTTGCATGTGAAAAAGACATGAGTTTTGGAGGGCCAGAGTCAGAATGTAGTATATTGAATTATGTCCCTCAAAACTCACTGAAGCTTGAATTGTGTCCCCCCTCATGTTTTATGTTGATGGAGTTTGGATGTGTTGTCCCCTCCAAAACTCATGTGGAAATTTGATCCCCAATGTGGCAGTGTTGGAAACTGATTGAATCATGGGGGCAGATCCTTCATAAATGGATTAGTGCTCTCCCCAGGTGGGGGAAGTAATGAGTGAGTTCTCACTTCATTAGTTTCCACAAGAGCTGGTTGTTTAAAAAGTCCCTGGCACCTTCTCTCTCCCTTGCTTCCTCTCGCCATGTGATCTGCTTGTACCTGCTGGCTGCCTGCCACTTTCCACCATGAGCAGAAGCAGCCTGAGGCCTGTGCCAGATGCAGCTGTCCCGGAATCATACGCCAAATAAACCTCTGTTCTTTATAAATTACCCGGTCTCACATATTTCTGTTATAGCAACACAGAATGAACTAATACATATGTATTAGAAACTTAGCCTCCATTGTGACTGTTGAGGGTGGGAAATCCTATTGTGGTAATTGAAAGGTAGAGCCTTGAAGAGGTGATTAGATTGTAGGACCACGCTGTAGTGAATGGATTAAAAATGTGGTCAGGGGCGTGGTTCTGAGGGCTTTAAAAGAAGAGAAAGGATAGTCTGTCTCTCCCTCTGCTCTTTGCTTCCACCATCTTGTAGTGTGAGACCCCTGGGTAGCTGTCACCACCAGATAAACTTTGGATTCCCAGTCTCAGAAACTGTAAGCAATAAATTTTGTTTTCTTTATAAATCACCCATTTCTGTTTTTTTTTTTTTTTTTTTTAATATAAGCAACAGAGATGGACTAATACACATGAAAAAGGAAGAAACACCTGAAACAGACCTAAACCCAAGACTGGAATTGTTTGTTATACTGCGTTATTGCAGCAATAGCACAATTATACTGTTGTTTGTTTGTTTGTTTTTCCCTTCCTTTGCCAAACTAATTCATATTCTAGGACGAAGCATTCTCTTTGCCTGGGATACTTTGCTGCTCCTGAACACCCTCACTTACTTTTCCCAAAGTTTTCAACAAGATAATGTGTGTTTGCTAATTAGGTTTCAGCTTAAATGTCAGTTCTTTAGGAGAAAGAG